GTATCATATTGTATGTATTGTAGATACATAGTAGATACTCTGTAAATATTTTGTTGAATGAATGAAGAAATGAACCTGCTTAGGTTCTGAAGGTAATTCTTAGCTGAGCTTGATGCCATGGTGGTAAATACTGGCAGAAGGAGTGCCTCTGGTTGATAATAGTAGGATTGAACAACACAGTTCTGAGCTTTAGTGCAGGTAGTATATTATGTTCTTTTGCTGCTGAACCTTTCTTATGTGGTATCCAATTATTACTCATTTTTTCTCTTTGCATAGAAAACTTCCTCTCCAATTTAGTCTCATAAAACTACCCACGGCTGTACAGTGAATGTTTATTTTAAGTATATGAATGAGTGGGAGTTTGGTATATATAATTACCCAAGTTAATAGTAATGTTCACTCAATAGGTAGTAATTACAAAGTTGGAATTTGACCAGGATGTTCAGGATGACATTCCTATGTTTAGATAGTGAAAACAAGTTCTTTTGTGATCACATTTAATCATAATGTTGAGATTCCTCTTATTAAGAATATAAATCTAGATACAGTGTTAGTGAGAGGGTGCTTTCTCAGCTTTTCCTACTGCACTGGTTCAGTTCTGGTTCAACTAGCAAATAAATCACAACACCACTCACTGCATTGCTTGTGTTTTCCCTAAAGGCCTCTTCTGGTTACTTGCTAGCCTAACTCTGCTTGAGAGTTATAAAATCTGACAAAAATCACAGTTTAAAATCTGCTCCAGGCTAGCCATAAAACATCTTTTTTACCCTGTGTTATATCTAACTACTATTTCTGAAACATCTTTCTTGATAGCCTTTTGCAATCAGAGTATGGAAATTCTCTTTGAATAAAGTCGCTATGGTGACTTTAGTTCTTTTCCCCAAGAGTTTTCAGTGTCTTCAGACTCAGCTTCATTTGATATTATTAGTTTTGCTCCTTTTTGCACCTCTCTTTATCTTTCATTAGTGCCAAGTATCGTAGTCAGTAAGAATCCATAACATGAGCTGAATGGAAGCTTGCTCACCTGATCTATCTCTCCCCTTACGCCTCTCTATCCCAGAGCTTTATCTCACAGTGTTGGGCAGAATGCTCCACTGTAGAGGAAAACTAGAAGAAAAACTGAAAGACGAGTGGTAGAGAAGAGACGAGAATACAGAAAATGACAGGGCAGGGACTGCAGCTAGACTGATGAAAGGGCATAAGCGAATATGACCGAGGAGCAGCAGGGAAATTCTAGAGAACTCGGACGATAAAAATTAAATGTGGCTAAATTAATACTTTGAAAGGAAAACTTTTAAAAAGTATGTTCTTCAAAGGGCATTAATTAGGTTTTTATGTCCTGGGAGATTACTTTTGAAGAGGAGATTAGGATGGTGTAGAATTTCAGTCCTATGTAAATGACACTTCTAAATGCTCAGACTCTTCTCCAGAGTAGTGTGAACCACCACTTTAACCTTATTGACAGTATTTGTTTACTTAGCACTTTTTGCTTCCCTGTGAAGGGAAGGTAAATCTCAGCTCAGCATCTTTTGATTTATTGCAAATCAGCCACAGCTTTATTAATGAGATTTTAACAGATTGCCTTAGTTAAATGTTGATTAGATGAAAGAAAAAAATACATACACATATATATTAAGTTTGTAGCTTTCAGTATTCTCTTAGTTGGAGATTAGAGAAAGATTCTGTGTCTTTGGAGACTAACAATCATAGAAGGTAGGGAATTACCAGATGGTCTGTGTTCCCAATGCAGGGGCCACCGGTTCGATCCCTGGTTAGGAACTAAGATCCCACATGCTGTGCAGCATAGTAAAAAAACAAAAAAATAGGCTGTAGAGAATTTAACGTACCTGAATATGCCTCAGAATGTATTCAGTATAATAAGATTCAAAGTCCTACATTTAGACTGGGTCTCTTAGTTTTGACCAGCATTGTTCAGCAACCCTTGAGGTTACCCAGGGCAATAAAAAGGCAAGAATAAGTCAGTGGCCATTGTCGAAAAATAGTTATTCAATACAAGAGATAATGCACAGGGTAGATTGGAGGTTGAGATTATAATGAATGTAAGGAGGGAAATAAACGGTTGAGAGAGATATATCAACAGAGCTTGAGATCTTGGAGGTTTGAATGTCTGGATTTCAGGGATTTCCTGAGCATTGGACAGAACCTGAAATTCTCAGTGTCCAAGTCTGTTGATCAGTTTTATGATGTGAAAGATATCTGTCTGCTCCTTTCAAGCCTTTTGGTCCCCCATGCCCCCCACCTTGTTTAAATTGGACAATAATGGATTAAAGAAATTAGCCAGTGGTATAGAAGGATGACTGGACCAAAATCTGAGGTATGTGGTTCTTGGACTTCAGTTTCTGTATCTGTAACATAAAGAGTACAGGATATCCTAGGCCCCTTCTACCTCTAAAATGCTGCTTCTGCAAACAGGAAAGTTTGAGATCGGTGACAGCAGTGGATGCTTCATGCCTTGTTCTGTTCTGCCTTCACCAAACTTCCCTGAGTCCAGTGGAGGCACAACCCTTTTACTTATTTTATTACTTTCTGTGTTTCTTGGAATGCTTTGGTCCCAGAGTGCTTCAGGCATCACTATGTGGGCAGATGGAGAAGACTTGAGTAGGCGGGGGCGTTACACTCCCACCCCCATTCTGTTTTATATGTTGTGGTAGCGTGTGTGTGTGTGTGTGTGTGTGTGTGTATTGTATATGTACGTGATAACCATTAAACCACTGTTCTAGTTCAGTATACTTTTTTTCCCCCCATATCATGAAAGCAGTAACTGAGAGTATATCCTTGCTAAAGAGCCTCTGTAGACCTCAGGCCTCCTTTGCAGGCACTACAGAAGGAGCTTCATGTTGGTAAAACCAAGAGCTAGGTTCTGGGTCCACACATGCTGAAGGCTTGCTCCTCAGTGTCACCTACTGACCTGGCCATGCTGTGGAACCTTGTTAGAAGTGCAGAATCTTGGGCCCCACTCCAGACCTGCTGAGTCAGAATCTGCATTTTAACAAGAGCCCCAGCTGATTCATTTGTGCACTGAGTTTGGGAAGCCCAGCAGCAGTCCAGATCTCATCTAGCTCCCTGGGCTCTTCACCTGACGTTGTAGGACACACAGCAGATGGAGTGTGTCTTCAGGAGAATTTAGTTTGATCTTGACCATCCTTTGTAAGGGTGGAGGAAAAAAGGACACTTGAAGTTTATACCTGTCTTTCATCACAGTGTACTATGATCCTCTAACATTTGGCCTATGTAACTCTGTTTTCTCAGGTTTCAATCCGTCATTTCCTTTCATTTCCCTCTTATACCATCACATCCATTTAAATCTCAGCTTCTGAAGAGCTCAGCTATTAAGTGTCTGAAGCACCCTTGAACCACCATCTCCCATTCCTATTCTCTTTGCCTTGTATTTCTTCCTCATTTGGGACTGAAATACTGAAACTTATTTTCACAGAATCAAAAGCTTGTATAATTTACCCTTAAGTAGAAATTATAAGGATTTTTCATATTCAACATGTAAACTTTTTTAAGAATTCAGTTTATGGGTTAAGTAGTATTTTATTTTCTATTTCCTTTTCATTTACCATTTGATATTTTTATTCTATTTGATGTCTTGAAGAACAAATAGGAAAGAACCTGAGAATCTCAAATCACATGTTTATTTGGCTCATTCGTTTTGGTGGGGACAAATTGTAAATATCTGCTGAAATATAATTGTGTATTCTCTAATACAACATAATTTTGTTATCTACATCCAATTTTCAGATTTTAAGAATGTGTGTGTGTATATGTAAAATAATAACATAAGTTTCTTTTCATTTCCCCTCCAAAAACTCGTTTGTTTCTCTTAGTATTTGAGTTATAAATTGAGTTATAAATCCTCCTTCCAGAATCTTCCATTTTCCCTTAGTTCACATCCTCCAACATAAGGCTGCTTCTGCACTGTTTCCCTACTCTGTTGCTACCAGTGGGCCTTATCCAGGAGCCATCATTCATTGCTATTAATTTATTGACTAACCTGGTAAGAAGTGCTCCAGAATATCACCATGTGACTAACTGTTGTACAATGTAAGTGAAGGATTGATAAATTATCAGAAGTATGCGATTGACAGTTCTGTGTTAGGGGCTGAGGTCACAGCTCACAGGTGCTTTCCCTGCAGTGTAGGCTGGTGGACCCCCACCCCTCAGCCATCCCTAACCTGTCTCTAGTCTCCAGAAGAGATTCTTAACCACTTGCTGTTGATCATGCAGAGATTTGATTATCAGAAATTTATATCATTTTTCTTTGAAGAATTAGATATCACTATTTTGTAGCTGGTTTATCAAGTTCTATATTAACCAGTTCTTGAAACTTTTATATTTATACTTAAATTGTAGTATTAACTAATCTTTTGAATACTTTTAATTCTAGTAGATTAAAATAGTAATATTTAGATATTTTTAAAAATTTACCTTTTAGCTTTTTTATCAACAAGTTAATGATATCTGCTCAACCATATCATGTCTGCTCTTAGTGGTTTAAAGTCTTCTGATACTCATCTTTTCTTCACTCATTTGGTTTTAGGATTAGTTGATATTTGTTTTATTTGTTAGTCATTAATAAATGTGAATTTTTATGAATAACAAGTCTCTAGGAAGAAGAGATTTGCATAGACTATCCCCATATTGAATTGCTACCTGCTTCAGCTTGTGTGTTTGTATACCCTCCCCCCACCATATAAATGTACTCACTGTACAGTATTATAAATGGTTGCATTGTGCAATTTTGTTTTAAAGATCCTCTCACTCTTTTCTAAGAGTGGTGACAGTAGCTTCTCTATGATGCATTAGTAATTACAGGTCACACTATGCTTTTCTTAGTCGAACCCTGTATTTCAAGCTCCATAATTGTCAAAGTAGTATGATCGGTTTTAAATGCCTAAATGAAAAGCATTTTGCTATCACCAAATTTCATTTTCTTTAAATTGTGTTTAAGTAATGAGTATGTTCTCCTTTTTTAGGTGCGCTTTGTAAAGAATATAACTTCCTGGAAAGAGATGAAACCAGGGTTTTATCATGGGCACATTTCTTACTTGGATTTTGCAAAGTAAGTTATACCCAAAATTATACACAAAAGAATGTTTTGTACTTTAGCAACCTAAAAAGGGATAAAGTTATTAAATAATTGTGATTTTGATTTTTAAAAAAGTACTGACTTGTGTTTGCCACTTTGAATACGTGATTTAAATATCCTTCTAGTGTTTTACTGCCCTCTAGTGTTCATAAATTGATTATTGTCATATTAATGTTAGAAATTTAAGGTAGATAAATTTAGGTAATGCTCTTTAAAGTTATTTATCATTATGTTTCTGCTTCATGTGCAATCAAATGACACTATTTTAGGAGAGTTCCAAGTTTTAACCTAGAAGCCAGTCGAATTATGACTTACCACATCATTGACTAAGAACAGAGAAAGCAAAGAAGCCATTAGTCAGTTATTGATAACCTGAAGTGTCTGCTTGTCAGCCAAGACACACTTCCCCTTTGGCTGCCTTGTTTTAGCTTTACAAGTGAGATATAAAAAGACTTTTTAAAAAGTAATTTTTCTTTATAGTGATTTGCCTGAAACTGGACATAAGTAACTCTCATTTTCCATGTTTTGGGGGAGGCACAGGATCAAGGTATTCCTGTCGTAACTCTTTCAAGAAAAGTTAATAAAGTATAGGCCTTTGTACAGTATCCGAGCACTATGTGCCTCTCCCTAGAGTTTGTGCCACATTAAGTACTAATCAGAAGACTCATTAAAAGGAATATTTTAAATATGTATAGTTTGGTAAATCTATTTAAACATTCTTTTTGTAGCACATAGAATATTATTGTTGGAAAACCTCAAATGCAAATCTTTTCCCTAATAAAATAATTTAAAAAACATTAAAAATGTTTTTAAATATTATTTTTTGTTATGTGGACCATTTTTAAAGTCTTTATTGAATTTGCTAGAGTATTGCATCTGTTTTATTTTTTTGGCTGTGAGGCATGTGGAATCTTACTTTCCTGATCAGGGATTGAACCCACATTGGAAGGCAAAGTCGTAGCCACTGGACTGCCAGGGAAGTCCCCTATTTTTAAATCATTTAATCGTAGATGCATTTGCTCAGTCATTTCTTTAGCAGTCATGACTTCAGAGTAATATATCCCCTTGTATTTGACAACTTCAAAGAGCATTCTGTATAAAATCCAACAGTTAAATTGATGTCCCACTATCATTTCAACTTTTCAAATTTGAAAAGAAAACAGTTGAATGAAATATTACAGATTCACATTGATAATAAATCTTAACTTTTTTGGAAAGCAAGTAATTAAAGGGAATCTCCCAAATGTTACATACATAAAACAGTATATTCTTGTTTCTAGTTCCTTCCACAGCACTCAGGATCTTTCAGTAAAATATTAGCTTTAAAGTTAGATGTACATTTTTCTATAAATAATTCATACAGCAATATTGAAAACATTTTATAGGCAGCTTTAAAATAAACTAATTATTTTTCTTTGCAGAGGCACTGAACCAATTTCATAAACTTCATTCATATGCATATTTTCCCTCAGGGCTGCATTATCCTTCAATTGAATGTTTGTTACCCCTTCACCTAAATGATTTATTTTTTTTCCACACATAGCTTGGTTTCATACTTGAGGTTTTCATTATTAAAATAATATTGAGTGCTTTTGCTTTTGGCAAAAGTCTTATACTTAGAATGAAGCTCTGGTGTATGCTAGGGTTCTTACAGTTGAAAAAATACAAAGTTCTTGGAAAGATTAATCTCATGTATTAAATACTGACATGAACGTTTAAGGATTCAAATATTTTCATAATATGTTTCATTTTATTGGAAGCAAAAAGTATTGTGAAAAATTTTGATAGACCTTTACAAGATAAGTAAATACCTTAAAAAAATCAACTAGAGAAAATGTATTTTGATGTATATAGTCACCAACTATTTTATATATAACTAGTATCTTTTAAAATGATTTTTAGTTTGACTGTCATACTCTCCACAAGTAAGGAAGAGAGGAAAGAAACATCACCTTACCAGTTTTTAAAATACTTTATTCTTTAAAACGTATTCTTGACTGGTATAGTACCTTGTGGAGTCCATTAAAATACTTGCCTTCAAGAAAAAAATGGTCAAATTCAATGAAAGAAATATTTAATCACATAGCTTTTCAATTGCCTTAGCAGAAACACTAAAAAGAGTACAAACCCAGGAAACCTAGGCAGTAAGATGGACAAATAAAAATTGAAAAGTGCATTCTAATTTAGACTGATCACAGGAAGCACACATTTTATTTGTAAACCCATATCTGCTCAAGCTATATTTTGGTTATGTTTATCTGGTTTTGTTTAGAACTTTAGAATAAGAACAAAAATATCTTCTTGTTATAGTTGCGGTCCTGTCCTGTCTTGTCTTAACCTTATCCCATTCCTGTTTGTCTTAACCCTATTCTTATATTTTAAGCACATTTCCTAGTACTTCCTTCCATTTTTCTATTTAGTGTTTAATTACTGTTTTTTTTTAATTGGTGGACAAACCATTTTAAAATAATGTAAAATAATTACAAATTTAGATATTTTTGAGTGGAAAGAAAATTGTATAGGTTAAGACATTTTCATAACCTAGGACACAGTGTCCTAGGTTACATACAGGCAGGATAAAGTTGAACAAGTTGCAGTTCTTATTCTCAGTGAGTTCACTGAAGGCCCCCTTTTTTTCCTGTAATTATCAGTTCATTATGGTTCATTATAAACAGTGAAAATATTCAGATTATTCTCCATTTAAAATTTATACCACTCATTTATCAGCAGTATCTACTACTCCCACTTTGATTTCCTTCATATTTTACAAAGAAAAATATTTGAACATTTTTCAAAAGCCTTTTTCAGAATATTTTTCCTTATCAAGCATAATGTCCTGCTGAAACTAGTGCTGGTTTTGATCAGACGCTGCTGAGTTTTTTTTGTTGTTGTTTTTTTTTTTTAAATAATCTAGCTACCTAGGGTCATACATCATCATCCAGTCTTAGAAAGATATTTGGAAAAATTTTTTAATACAGCATTCAGTTTTATTCAGGCCCATGTGAGGTATGTGAGGTATGTACCTTTGTTGGTCATCCCCAGGAATGAGTATGGGCTGTCATCACCATCAGTTTGGTTTCACTGTATCACCCCAGTTGTCTTTTTCACAACAACTGAGATGAATCAGTAAAGAAGCAGGTATGTCAGGATAAGAAACAAATAATTAAATGCTTCACTAGAGGGTAATAAAGTGTTAGTATTTTAGTCCGAGAGTTTATAATATATAGATTCTGTGCGATTGTCCCTTTTGCCTTGTATTTCTCTGCTGAACCAGTTGAAGTTTGTATCACTTTCTACATCTTTTAGCAAAGCTGTCACAACACGGTAGAAACATTTTAAAAATTATTTTAATCATTCTAAGTAATATATGAGAGTTGCCTTTTTATTGCTCTTGTATTACTAGCTCTTTCTGTGACATCGATCCTGTAGATGCTGAGAAGGAATCTCTCAGGTCAGCTGTGCCACGCCAAGTCACTTCAGCTGTGTCCAACTCTTTGTGACCCTGTAGTCAGATCTGCAGTTAAATCTCCCTCAGGCCCTTCCCAGCTCAGCAGTCTCAGACACCTGACTTTAGATCTTCAGTTTCCTGTTTGTGGAATGAGGATAATTAACTACTCTATGGGTGGTTGTGAGTATTGAAGTGTAGTATGAAGCAGTTATACTTCACACAGAGCCATGTTAGCTAGTCCCTTAAAACTCTGATTTTGTTCAGTTACCTGATGGCTTACTGGTGTTTTCTTCTTCCTTTTTGAGTTTGTGCTGACCCTCCTTATTCCCAGCTCCAAATCAGGCATTGCTCAAGATTCCGTCTTTGCCTCCAGTATTGTCATTTGAGAACTTTACCCATTTTTATTTATCAAAGCATCCAAAGAAGAAACTTTAGAGTCATCTTGTATCACCCTTTTCTTTGCCACATGGATCTAGTCAGTCACCAAGTCTTTTTGAATGGCTTCTTAGTGTACTGCTTTTGATACTCATCCAGTTGGGTGCATGTGTCAGTGGTTAGTTCCTTACTGAGGAGTAGGGATGGAGGCAGAACAATTTCTGTCCACCCACCAGTTTCTGGATACTTGGGTTTTTTTCCAGCTTTTGGTGATTATGAGTAAAGTTGCCAGAACATTTGCATACAGGTTTTGTGTGGACACAATGTCTTCATTTCTCTTGTGTAAAACCTAGAAGTGAGATTGCTAGATCGTAAGACACTGCTAAGCAGTTTTCCCAGTGACTTTTATTATTTTGCTGTATATCCTCACTAGCATTTGGTAGTGTTAGACCACCCCTCCTATTTTAAAAAAAAATTGTGCCATTTTAATAGATGAATGCACATTTCAAGAAATAGTTATTTTAAAAATCTTTTGTTCTTCATATCATTATCATTGTGGGACCAATATCATATCATTGGAGATTGGACCAATCTTCATATCATTGTGGGACCAAGAAACACCAACAGGTTATTCACTATTTTTGAAACAAGACAATGGGAATTTACTATATCAAATTTTGGAGGTTTCTATGAATGCTTTAGGGATAAGAGGGTCCAGAATAAATGTGTACAGTCCTCCCTTGTTATTTACAGTTTCCACATCTGTGAATTCATCTTACTGCATATCAACTGTGTATCAGCATCCCTTGTGTGAGACTGCTACTTAACTTGAAATGTTAAATCTAGTGTGAAGCAGAAATCTCAGTGTAATAACTTCATGAAGACTCTTCAACCCTCCTTCAGCTTCACCATCTTCTAGTTGTCAACGTTCCTTTCAAATATTCTGAGTGTGCACTTCTTCTTTTAACTATTCTTGATGTTCATTCATCTGTCCAGGCTATCTAGAGTGTGGGTGTAAAGAAATGTGCCTGGTTTGTTTTCCTTATTGTTATACCACGTATGCTAATACAGCAAGAATAAGGTTTCTTACCAACTTGCTGCTCAGATTATATTTTTTCCCTTTTGATCATCATTTAACATGACAGATTCTTACGAAATATGTTCTTCTCTTCCTAGAAAGATTACATTCTAATGGGTCAATAATAGTTTAGTTTCCTGGAGTGAAGATGAGTTTTCTACTTTTCCATCTGAGCCCTCCTGAGGAGTTACTCAGATGACTGGCCAGGGTTAAAGCTGAGTCTACAACTACAGAACGTATTTTTCCACTGGTATAAAACTACCTGGTTGGCCAGAGGTTTAAATGTACAAATTTAAGAGGATGCTTGTTTCCTAACTAGTTGAGCTGAATGGTCCAGTGCTGTTTTTTCATGCAATTTTCAGTTATAATTCTTTGCTTCCATGTCTACATGCCCATACTCTGACTTATAAATAATAAGTCTTATCCATTTTCAGAATAAGTTTACATAGATTATCTCATTAAAATTATGTTTCACACAGATAAATGCCACCTAAAGCCATGCCCCAGAAAGTCATTTCCCAGATAGCAAGAAGAATTTTGTCAAATGCCATATCCCTCTTTCACTTCTACTTGGTTAAAATTACCACGTGTTCCACATTTCAGGGACTAGGAGAAAAGACGAGGCATTGGTAGGAGATAATCTGGGAGGAGGTAATTCCCAAGGGGATAGTTCAGGCGGATCAGTGGCTAATAATAGAGATGATAAAGGAGGCGCCCAGGGAATCTCACAGTCTAAGAATGGAGTCGTTGCCCCACTGTCCTACCCTTTCCTGTTACAAGACTCTTGGCTCTCTCAGTTAAGGTAGCAGGTATGTATCTATCCCTAATGCCTTCCAACCCTCTTCTCACTAGTGAGTACCCTGTTCCACAGAAAGGCCTTTGTAAGTAGCCAATTCACAGCAGTTCATTCAACCTAATTCTAATATCCAACACCTGTCTGACATCATGCTAAACATTAATGATAAAGCTATGAACCAGAAAGAAAGTCTTCTGTCCTTACGGAGCTTCTACTCTGATACCTAATTTGACAATGCCATAATATTTGCAACAATACTGTTTCCTCTTCTAGAAATTGTGAGAAAATTTTTACTGCATTGTTGTTGATTTTATAGGTTTATGAGTTGCTCATTGAAAAAATACACCCCAAGCTCTGATCAACCAACTCACAAATTTAATAGAATAATATTTTACCAAAAAGTTCTCTGATCAGTCCAGTTCAGTCACTCAGTTACGTCCAGCTCTTTGCAGCCCCATGGACTGCAGCGTACCAGGCTTCCCTGTCCATTGCCAACTCCCAGAGCTTGCTCAAACTCATGTCCATCAAGTCAGTGATGCCATCCATCCATAAGTTGGATGGCATCTCATCCTCTGTTATCCCCTTTTCTTCCCACCTTCAATCTTTCCCACCATCAGGGTCTTTTCAGATGAGTCAGTTCTTCACATCCAGTGGCCAAAGTATTGGAGTTTCAGCTTCAGCATCTGTCCTTCCAATGAATATTTGAGACTGATTTCCTTTAGGATTGACTGGTTGATCTCCTTGCAGTCCAAGGGACTCTCAAGAGTCTTCTCCAACACCACAGTTCAAAAGCAGCAATTCTTCAATGCTCAGTTTTCTTTATAGTCCAACTCTCACATTCATACATGACTACTGGAAGAACTGTTAACTTTGACTAGACAGACCTTTGTTGGCAAAGTAATGTCTCTGCTTTTTAATATGCTGTCTAGGTTGGTCATAGCTTTTCTTCCAAGGAGCAAGCAGCTTTTAATTTCATGGCTGCAATCACCATCTGCAGTGATTTTGGAGCCCCCCAAAATAAAGTCTGTCACTATTTCCATTGTTTCCCCATCTATTTGCATGAAGTGATGGGACCAGATGCCATGATCTTCGTTTTTTGAATGTTGAGTTTTAAACCAAGCTTTTCACTCTCCTCTTTCACTTTCATCAAGAGGCTCTAAAGTTCTCTGTAGTTTTCGGTATTTCCATATGTACAAAAGAGTTTAATGACTTAGACACATGGCTTAATAGTGAGATAAAGGACTGGAATTCAACAGAGTTGACCCCTTTTTACACACAAAGCATTTCTCACAGAACACAACCTGTTTGTAAATTAGAAATGTCATGTTCAGTTACTTTTCAATTATTCAAAGGCTGAGAGAAGCAAGTTCTATCTAGGCATCTTGCTTTTTTTCTTCTGTGGTCTCTTTTCACTTATTTGTGTTAAGAATTTAGTATAAAATATTTATAGAATGTTTGTGTGTGTGTGTAAGACATTTATTGTAACAGGCAAAAGTAAGTGGGAAATGTGAAACTGGTTAGGTTAGCTATGTGCTTTTTGGGTGCCTTTAAATTTTAGTAAGAAGGGAAATTCAAGTTATAAGTCCATGGAGTCCCAAAGAGCTGGCCATGACTGAGTGACTGGGCACGCACACACACACTGTTGATTACAATCACAATGCTGTACATTAGATTCCATATCGTGACACTTCTCTGCTGACTCAGGCTCCCTTCTGATGCTTACAGTGCCCTACAAAGCCCACGTGATCTGCACTTCCCCCACCATCACCCCCATTTCTCTCCTCTCTCATGCTCTGTCATTACCCCTTCCTGATGCTGCCTCAGCCATTTTGACCCCCTTGTTGATTCTCAAAAATGCCCAGCAGTTAGCTGTTTTAGGGCCTTCCTGCTTGAAGTCTTGTCTTCCTGGAGCACTTTCTCCCAGATATTGACGGGGCTCTCTTCTCATCACACAATAATAGCACTGTGGTGGTTTAGTCTTGTCCAACTCTTGCAGCCCCATGGACTGCAGCCTGCCAGGCTCCTCTGTCCATGGGAGTCTCCAGGCAAGAGTACTGGAGAGGGTTACCATTTCCTTCTCCAAAGGATCTTCCTGCCCAGGGATTGAACCAGGATTGAACCTGGGTCTCCTGCATTGCAGGCAGATTCTTACTGACTTAGCTATGTAGGAAGCCAAATATAAAAAAAAATGTAATAATAGTGCTGCCTCCCTGGAAAACCCTAGTTTAAATTTTACTGTCCCTCCTTCTCCCTGTTCTCTTTCACTGTGTCATTTCTCTCCTTAGTATTTTTACCATTAAGATATTTACTTATTTATTAGTTTACATTCTGTCTCTCCCAAGTAGAATGTTAACTTTGGCAAGACAAGGAATTTTGTCTTTTTTTTCCCCCATTATTGTTTTCCTAATATTAAAATAGTTCCTGGCATGTATTAGATACACAAAAAAGTATTTTTTTGAATGATTGAATTAATAAAAAGAATAGGGAAATGCGAATGGCATTCTAGTTAAGGAAGACAATGAGCAAAGGCATATATTGAGAACTGGGAGTAAGTATGATATATTGGTGGGAGGTAGAAGAGGTGGACCTAATTATAACCAATAGATGATTTCTTATTTGTGGAGAGTTGAAAATAAAATTAGATCAATAAGGTGGGACCCAAAACATAAGGCAAGCAGATATTAACAACCAAGCAAAGGAGTTAGGGTTTGATGTCAACATAAACAGTGGTATCTCAGGTTCCTAAGGAGAATGATCTAATCAATGGTGTTTTAGGAAATATCAGTTGAGAATTGGCATGAAGGTAAATTGAAAGGGAGAGAGATTGGATGCAAGAAAACTATTATTATTACAAAGCCACCAATTATCACAGCACTCTAAGCAAGAGGCCTGCGAAGAGGGTGGTTATGACAGGAAAGGAAGTGATGAAGACAGATCAAATCTGTGGAAAACCTACAAAAGAAAAAATCAGAAGAACTTGGTAATTGTGTTAAATGAAGAATAAAGGAAAGTGGAGAGTTGGGGTAACACTAAAGTTCAAGGCTGAGATAAGTGAGGATATGAGAACAGGAACCAGCTAGACAATTCTAGGGTCTACAAGGATTACTAAAGTAAACACCTTCTGTGTTCCTTCAACTCTCTTCATTCCCTAAGGAATGAACAATTCTGAAGACTTAATGTCTTTCATTTCTATCTAGTTTTTAAAATTAGCACCACAGAAGGTAAGCTCAAATGGTCACACTTATATGAACTTCTGCTGTGTCCATAAATAACAGTTACCTAGCTTGGTGGTCCAGAAATGAGAAATCATTGCTATATAAAATTGAAATGTTTTATGTAATTCTTGCTAGTAAAATTTAAGATTGTCATTCAATTTTCCCCTCTCTCCTGTATCTTCAGTTGTAATTTTAATATTACTTTATTGTAATATAAATAATCATGAAATATTTCCCAATCTCCATGTACTCTATTTAAATTGATTCATATTTTTTCCATACAGAATTAATACCTCAAACTTATAATTTCAGGACATCCCAAACAGAATGAAAGTGTTGACTTCACCATTTAAATTTTATTCTATTTCAGATTTGGAGTGAAGAAAAAGCCTATTTACATTAATGTCATAAGGGATCCTATTGAGAGGCTAGTTTCTTACTATTACTTTCTGAGATTTGGAGATGATTATAGACCAGGATTAAGAAGACGAAAACAAGGAGACAAAAAGGTAGTATTTTAGCTTCAAAATTTTTATAAAGGTAATTGTTTATGAATTGCATGCAATGAACAGTGAATGCTTTTAAAATTTATTACTGATTATAAATATATTACTTGCTTATTGTGGAACATTTCTAAAGAACCAAAAAAAGTATGAAGAAGCAAAAATAAAACTATTTTGTAGCTGATATTTTGGATTGTATATTTTGTCCTTTTAGAAAGTATTTTACTTTTGTTCCAGGGCTGAATATTTGTTTTATTATAGTCCTGTTAACAGTTTTCTATGAGCTCAGTATAGCTGTTCATGAGTATGACATATTTGATATATACTTTGATTCTCTAAATCTTGTTGAAGGGAGTTGACACTGATTTGTGTTCATCTGTTTGGGGACACTGGTTAAAACCGCTATTTTTTTCAGGCAAGATGAAAATAATAGCTCAACAGAGTTCTTACTTAGCAGGTTCAGATTTGAGTTGTCTTCTATTGAAGTGAATCCTCCAGAGCAGCCCCAGACTTGCTTTCCTAAGAAACCAAACTCTGTCACTTTTTTGGTGGAACACCTTTGTTGGAACCAGCCTGCAACCACCCTCTCCTGCCTCATTTTCTCCCCTCAAGCGCCCAGTGCCTCAGCCTCCTAAAATGTGTCACATTGCTCCAAATGTATTAATCCCTTTGTACTTTTTGCACATGTTTTGTTCCCTGTGTTTAGAATGTCTCTCCTTCACTCTGGAAAACTCTTTGTCCACCTTTAAGATCCAGTTCAAGTGTTACCTCTTTCATAGAGTCTTTTCTGGCAGAGAGCCATATCCTTTTCAGCGCTCCCAGAGCACCCCATTCGTGTCACTATTTTTTAAATATTTATTTTGTGGTACTTGAATTATTTGTTTACATATATATCTTCTCCAGAATGCTGTGAACTTCCGGAAGCAGGGATTATACTTCATTCACCTTTGTTTACACCACATCTACTGCGGTGCTTAGGTCATCTGTAAACACTTAGCAAGTGGCTCAGTGAGAGAATTCTGCACCTTTTAAACCTAGTGTTGCATAGCAGTGATGCTGGATACTTGATGTATTGTAGTAATTAACATCCAACAATTAATGTTTTCCTAAGTTAACAGTGCCCTCTGTTGCATGAGAAGGCAGTGGAATTTTGTTTTAGATTTACCTTTTCGTTTTTTAGAATTTGCTATTTCTTTCCTTGGTCTCAAAGCTTTAGGCAGAAGGTACTGATCCAAACAGTACCCTTTTTTTTCCAGTGGACACTGAAAAAAAATCTCTTAGTTTTATTTAATCTTCTAGAAAAAATATATACTTATGTTACTATGGAAAGTCTGCAAAATTTTGTAAACTCTAGTAATATAACTCTTTTGTGACCTAATACTTTAAAACTTATCAGTAGTTATTTCTAAATTCACTTCAGTGCCAACTGCTTCCTTTCTTTTTTTAATTTTAGCCCTGTCATTTACACTAGCTCTTACTCAGTAATTGTCACTATCCATCTCCCTCCTTCAACTAAAGGAATGTTAATGTTGGTAAGGAAAAGATTCACAGTCACATAGGTTCCTACATCCATCATTTATCATGTCAGCCCTGGATGCCATGGTTTTGTGGTTGCTATCCTATTTCATTTGGGGAATTAGGTAATAATACTACTTAATATAGCCAACAATAACAGCTCACATCTATTGAGTGCTTATTGTGTATCAAGCTCTTTTTTAAGCCACATGCCATATATCATTTCAGGTGGTCCATAGAATAATTTTATGGGATAGTTGCTGTTATTTCTCCATTTTACATTTTAAATATGAGAGCAGTAGGGCCTACAGATGCAGATAGCCTTTTTTTAAGCAGAAATCAAGGGGGAGCTCACTCTCAGCTTCCAATTTTCTGTAGAAAATGTGAAGCAAGATCATTTTTAGAAAAGGGTTTGAATGTAAATGCCATCACTACCAAGCATCAAATTTTGTTTAATTATTGACCTTCAATTATAGGAATTAAATATTTAAGCTAATAATCTAAATAAATCTAGTTGTTTAAGTGAAAAAGGTGATTATAACTTTGTTTCTCTAGTATGCTGAACTGAGTTTTGTGGGAAAAGAAGAGATCTGGACTAGAGTGTTTTTATTTCATTTATTTGTTTTTATTTTGTATTTTAAGACCTTGAAGTTTTATCAGAGTAAAATGTTTATTTATAGAAAGTTCCATTTCTGAAATGTGGCCCAAATGTTTAGGAGAAGGCTAATAGAAGGTAGCAAACCAATGGGAAAATTCTGGTGGCCAGCATTTGAGTGACTGTCAACTTCTGTGATGTGATGTGAGTAGAGAAACCCAAGGGCTAGTGTCACTATTGGAGTCAGTGGAGTAGTTAATCTCGATTAAGACCTCGGTGCATTCACTCAAGTTTTACATAGTAAAGATGGTTTTGAGTTATGTTAACTTGATTTCTTTCACTTGGTTTACTTTTTTCATCACATATTTATAGAGAAATAGCAGAGGGACTTCCCTTGCAATCCAGTGGTTAAGATTCTGCTTCCAATGCAGGGAATGTGGGTTCAACACCTGGTTAGGGAACTAAGATCCCACACACGTTGTGGCTTAAAAAATATAAATGATAAAAGAGCTAGGGCTTCTGTTGTACACTAACATCTGGCACACTCATGTATGTTCACCAATTTCTGATTGTTTTTGGTTTTTTTTTTATATCTTCCTTGTTATTGGCCTTCTTTGTGTTGTTTCTTTTAAGTTGATAGGAGTGAAGCACCTCTGCCATATGATAAGAAGGAACTATAAAGGAGGCAAAACCCAAACTTTTTCCACTTTTATATTGTCTAATAAAATGTGTGGTAGGTGAATTAGGGTAAATGCTAAGCTTTTAAAACAAAGAAATTCAGATGTTTAGGTCGATTTTTTCCCTGTCATACATAAAAGCCTAAAGGTGAGGGGCCCAGGATCTTAGAGCAGCTTTGCTCTGCACTGCCATTCAGGGAGTGAGGTTCCTGCCACATTGTTACACCCCTGCCCTTCAGGGCTTGCCCTTACGTGCTTGGTTAAATTTGGGTCACCACAGCATCTGCCTTCTAGCTCGTGGGAAGGAAGAAAGTAGAGGCCCACCAGTTTCCTTTTAACTAAGTGACCCAGAACTTGCTCACATTACTTCTGCCCCCAGCTGACTGGCAAAACTTAGTCATATGGCCACACCTAACTGCAGGAGAAGCTAAACATTGTGATTGGAAGAAGGGAAGAGTGGATTTTGGTGGTAAATCTGTCTCCCAGAGAAGGCTAGCAGATTTTAAAGTGAAGTGAAGTCGCTCAGTTGTGTCCAACTCTTTGTGACCCCATGGACTGTAGCCTACTAGGCTCCTCCATCCATGGGATTTTCCAGGCAAGAATACTGGAGTGGGTTGCCATTTCCTTCTCCAGGAGATCTTCCTGATCCAGGGATTGAACCTGGGTCTCCCACATTGTAGGCAAATGCTTTACCATCTGAGCCACCAGGGAAACTTTTTAGCAGATTTTAAGCTACTGGCCAAAAGTAAACTTGAAGATTATCAGCACATTTGCTTTGTTTGAAAAGCAAATACTTTCAGCAGTTTAGAACACAGGAAGTAGGAGTTGGCTAACTTGAGAACTTGGGTTAAAATAGCCATCCCACATGCTTACTCATTAATCAGCTTTGATTCCAATAGTGGATATTTTAATTCCCAAATTTGTCTATATAGTGACTCTCTGGAAACTTTTAATACCGCAACCTCTTTTAATACCCTAATTTCTTACATTTAAACAAAATCTAATGTCTTTGAATTTTACACACACAGAATGGTGGTACAGTTTGTGAGTTCACCCACAATCACCTTAGTAATTCATTTCTTTTCTATCTGAGACTCTATTCAGGCAGAGGTATAATGAAGCAGAGCACCTCTTCTGAGTTTCAGAGGAACTATACTATGATCTGGGATTCATTTAAAATTGAAATTGAATAGGCTTGGAATCAGAAACCTTCTGTTATATCATCACTTGGTTTATTGGAACCTGGAACATGGTAGAGATAGATACATAGGTTTTGTTTTTATGAGCTACAAGTTGGCATAAAGGATAATAAAACCACTTTTTAGAAAGTGACTTAGACCAGCAAATCTAAATAGACCATCTGGTAAATTTCAGAAATAATATAATGGCCATGGAAATGGGGTTGATTGAGTCTTAAGTATAAACTGAGATGTTTTCATTTTAAAAAATAGAGTGATGTGGGGGCGTGTGGTGTGTTGGGCGGGGAAGGGAATCCTAAGATAATTTTGGAGAACTTTAAGGAACTGTAAAACTGCTTCATGAAAAAATGTTACCGCCCCTATCTTCATCTCAACCAGAATTGTGCCTTTAATACTCATGCAAAATCTCCGAAGTGCAGTCTTCCCCAGCCATTTACAAATATTGATTGTGCAAACAACTGATATAACAATATATTGTATGCTATGGAGGACACAAATCCATACTGCATGATCCCTCCAAGAAGTTTTTCTGTAGTTTGGAAGAGTGAACATAATATATATATTTTTTCAAAGTACATGAAACAAGTTCTTTAGATAAAGATGTCTATATAGATATACATACCTGATCCTAAGAGTTGACTATTACAGGGCAGTATATAATTAATTTATATGAGTTTAAAAGAATGAGTGACCTGAGGCCAAAGTAGTCATTGGAAAGATAGTGTCTTGTCTGTTAGATTAGCAGAGGAAAGCACTTTGAGAGGAAAAAAATGTATTTAGCAAAAATACATAGATCTGCAGGAACATATGACTTGCTTGAGAGACTATAGACAGGTTCATCTGGTAAAGAAGTTATACATAGAGATAAGACTAGCACATTGAAGTCAGAGTATGAAGCATTCTTTAAAGCCAGGATAAAGAGTTTATGTCTTCTTTCTTTCAATATATTAGAAGCTGTTTACATTTTCTCAGTAGAGGATGTAGAAGTGACTACTTAGGCTATCTGGTGGTCTAAGAACAGATTGAAGGAAGAGAGGAAACAGAACCTGATTAGAAAGTGATTGTAAGGATGGAGAAATGACATTATGAGATCCTGATGAAAGTAAGATTGAAAAAAAAAAAAAGATGGAAAGACATTACCTCGAGGAAGTTGAGTGAAAGAGAGAAAAAATTAAGAAATGTTCTGAGATCTTGAGTCTGAATTACAAGGGGCAATATCGTTGTATTGCCAGAAATACAAAATATGTGGTAATACTGGAAACTCAATGAAAAGGCACGCTAGGTATCAGAAGATATGTAAGAAGTGATTCATCTAGGGGTACAGATTTGGAAAGCTTCTGCCTGGAAATCATAAATTGTTACAAGGAAGTGTGAATAAGCTAAGGAAAGGTGTAGTAAGAAAAGACATCTGAATTTCCATACTTGGTAGAAGGACCAAAACATGTCTTAAAAGAAGATAATGATAGTATGTTCAGAAAGGTACAGAGAAGCAACAAAAAGCCCAAAAGGGCAGTGTTCAAAGAAATAGACAAATGCTATGGAGGTCAAGGAAAATAAGAACCAATAAAACTTTGTATTTGACTGTTAGGGAGGACAGGTGGGGAGAGAGAGACAGACATGGATACATCCCATTTATTTAATGGTTATAATGAGCCAGCCAGTCTTTGTGGTAGATTGTTTTACATCCATCATTTTATTTCTTCCTCAAAATAAGACTATGTCCTTGGTATTTAGGTGAAGAGACTAACACAAAACTCAAGTTTTCTGGTTCAAGATTCAAGCCCAAGTCATAAAACTTTCCTGTATCGTGGTGAAGGCCGTCTGTAAAAGATATGGACAAATCATTTGTGGACTGCAGTTTGCTGTTGCCTCTTAAATGTTGCCAGAATAAAGATAATTATCCCACTATTCCTCTATTCATAGTCTTATCTAAGGATTTGGGGTCCTATTCTCAATAGAGTTTTGATTGAAAGGGACCTTTGAATTTATCTAATTTTATATGAAATGTATTAGAAAGTGAGGTTTAGAGGCCATAATGACTTACTCAAGATAAGGTCACACCTGCTTCTAGAAACTCAGAAGTCTGTACTCTGGATGCATTCTCTTTCTACTCTTTCATACTCTCTCTTTTCAGAATTAACAGGTGGTATTTATAGATGACTACTGCAACAGCCTGAGCTCCTAAGTTTGTTCTCTGGCATTTTAATACCATTTCAGATAGATAAAGCCTACTGTAAAAATGCCTGTGACAGATAGTAGTAAGTTCTCAAGAAAGTGAAGCTGATTTAATTTTAGACCCATAACCTGTGAGTCTCTTTCCCTTTTCATTAATTTGTATGTGTGCTCAATCGCTCAGTCATGTCCAACTCTTTGCAACCACCTGGACTGTAGCCCACCAAGCTCCTCTGTCCATGGGATTTTTCCAGGCAAGAATACTGGAGTCGGTTGCCATTTCCTACCCCAGAGGATCTTCCTGACCCAGAGATCAAACCTGCATCTTTTGCATTTTGGGAAGCCCTTTAATTAATTTAGTCAGATGCATTTGGAGAGGGGGCCATATCAGTCGTTAAGTATCTGGGGTCACTTTTGCTTGTACATTGATGTTTTTGTTCATTTTACTGAGAAAAGAAGGAAGGACTTAAGTGTAGTTCTACTTTATATTATTTTCAAATAATTATTTCCTGAAGAGTATCTTGAGTCTTATTTAATTTACTTTGGTAAGGGGATAGAAAATATAAATACACAGATTCGACATAAACCAGTACTTAATTTCAAGGAAAAATTATTATCTGGGGATGTTCCATTCTTACGGTAAAAAAATTCTCATAAACATTGGTGTGAAACAAAAATATGAGAAAAGCCCACATTTAACTTTGCTCAGTGTCTCAAGTATATTTTTGTAACCTATCAGGTTAAGTCACTTTCTCATCCAACTCTGCGGCCATCGATTCAATAACTCGCCACACTAAGATAATCGGTAGGCGGAGCTCGGGTCTGTGGCTCACGTGTTCCGCTCTGTGTTTTTTGCAGACCTTTGACGAATGTGTAGCCGAGGGAGGCTCAGACTGTGCTGCAGAGAAGCTCTGGCTTCAAATCCCGTTCTTCTGTGGCCACAGCTCGGAATGCTGGTAGGGAGATGAAGTTAGCCTTAATCGGCAATCTACTTACTTTTCTCCATAATCTGTATTTCACAAAGGTGGACGCATTAGTCAAGGGCTCAGTGTAAGGAAGTTCATGAAAGACCAGACCAAAAACAACATGTAATTAAGTAATACCTAGTTTTTTAGTTACCTTGAAGTGCCTTAAAAAGATTCTTCATGTATAAGATGCTTGCCATGATTTCTCAGATGCTGCTTTTTAAAGATTTTTCGTATTATGTGTATTGCTATATTCTAGCAGTGTTCTTAATTAGAAGTCAGGAGTCCTTTCATAAACCTTGTTTTCTCCTAAGCTTGTTGTTTTAGCCACCCATTTTAGATCAAGGAGAGGCTTAGAGGGTAAATTATTCACCTGGTTTTACTGTTAAACTGATTTGACTTTGAGAGAAGCCAAGGTAAAATAAAGATGTTTTATCTTTAGTAGAGTTTATTTCTTCAGGATGTGCTGAGTTTTCAGTTTATAAAAATAATGGTATGTATTTATGTGTTCTAGTCAATCATTTTAAAAGGAAAAGTAGGGGAAAAAAACAAGAAACACATGCAGTTAGTGTCTTCCTTAAAACCATGAGAGATGCAAGAAATGCCTTCTGTTTTTTCCATCATCATCTGAAATGTAATGTTAGGTCACTGGGAACCTTAAGGTCTTACTCAGTAGATTATATCAGCACATAATATAGTTGACCCTTTGAAATCACAAGTTTGAACTTTGAGGGCCCACTTAAACAGATTTTTTCTTTAGTATGTATTACAGTAGTGCATGATCTGTAGTCATGCACTACTGAATCCTTGAATATAAAACGGGATATAGAGGGCTGACTGTAAGTTATAAGAAGATTTTCAACTGAGGAGTCGGGGATTGAGTCTGGTTGGCACCAATAAACCCTCTTGTTCAAAGATCAACTATAATAACATAAGAAGACTTGGACACTTCGAAAGAATGTCTTCTCAATTTTTAATCATTTCCTTACAACAAGAATCAGTAAATTACAACCTGGACACCAAATTAGGCCCAATACCTGTTTTTATAAATAGTTTTTTGAAAGACAACCATATCTATTTGTTTATTATGTATAGCAGTTTTCACATTGCAGAAGCAGAATTAGGTAATTGTGACCAAGACCATATGACCTATAAAGCCCATCTTAGGCTTTACTCTCTGGCTCTTCATAGGAAAAGCTTGCCACCCCCACCTTAGAACAATAATGTATTTTTCTGTTGGGTGTTACTGAGATTTTAACTGAACTTCTTTAAGGACCTTAGAAATCAACTTGTTTACTTCCCCAACCAGCCACCGACCCTTGGCCATGCAGTGTGGAATCTTAGTTCCACAACCAGGGATTAAATCTTTGTCCTTGGCAGAGAAAGAACAGAGTCCTAGCTGTACCTCCAGGGAATTCACAAGTGTTAGTATTTTTTTGTTGATTTTTTTACCTGGCTGTACTCAGTGGCTTGGGGAATTTTAATTGCCCAACCAGGTATCAAATCTGTGCCCCCTGCAGTGGAAATGTGGAGTCTTATCCACTAGATCACCAAACAAGTCCCCACCCTAGCTTTTTAATGGCTGAGAAAACAAGTTTAGAAGGGTGAAAGATACTTGCCTAATATCACACTGCTTAAAGGCAGAGCTTGGAATTGGGACTAGGAAATGTCAATGCTGAAAAGAATCCAAAGGCGTAGTTTATCTAGGGCCAAATCTCTATTAACAGTCATTAGCTGACAATGGAAAAATTAAAAGATCTGTAGTAGAGCCATTCCTTAAAAAAACCTAAATTCATAAATTAAATGAAGATAACCACTACACAAAATTGCTTAGACCTTCCTAGAGAGCTCTTAAAATGAATGAAGTTTAGAGTACAGTTGACCCTTGAGCAAGGCAGGGGTTAATTCCAGTATAACTTATACTTGGCCTTTTGTATTCATGATTCCTTGGATCTGCAAATTCAACCAACCATGGTTCATGTAGTATTAATAGTATCTACTATTGAAAGATACTTGAATATAAGCAGACCTGTGCAGGTTAAACCCATGTTGTTCAAGTGTCAACTGTAAACAAAAATTAGATGTCCTCATACCTAAATTAGATAGGAGGATACATAAATATACATATTTTTTAACTGTTCCTGTTGTGTCGCCTGGTAAAATTTGAATTAGCCCTGCATGGTTCAGCAGAAATTGGAGACAGAGGCAAAGGAAATTAAGAACAGGTGTGCCTCCCGAAGGACATTAATAAAAGGGCATTAAGGCTTTGAATGAGCACATGTTTATCTGTTTTTTCCATAATATACAGTGTCAAAGTCATCAAAAATACTTAGCAGATTTTACAACCAGGTTTTTTATTCTTTTTCTTTGGTTTTAGGAATGTGGGAAGCAGGTGGGCTATGGATCAAGCCAAGTATAACCTAATTAATGAATACTTTCTGGTGGGAGTAACTGAAGAGCTTGAAGATTTTATCATGTTACTGGAGGCAGCTTTACCCCGGTTCTTCAGGGGTGCTACAGAACTCTATCGTACAGGTATATAAAGGATAGTTTTGTTTGTTTGTTTGTTTTTTAAGCTGACTTTAACTTTGCCACTTGCAAAATATGTATGATTTGAAGTCTGTTGAGTAAAACTCCAGAAAGGCAGGTATATTGTCCATTTCTCCTCACCATTTTCAATACAGAACAATACATGGCACACAGATGGTGTTCACTAAATGTCTTTTGAATGAATAAACATGCATGAGATGATAATTAAAAGGCATTGTGGGTATAGTGGAAAGATACAGACTATAGTGCCAGCCTTAGAAATTGTGTGATACTCAGTAATGCTGGCCATGCATTCCACCCTTTAGACATGTCTGGTGCCATTTTAGGTGGGGGTAGGACTGGGAGACTGAATCATGCTGGTAATGAGCCTGTGCTCTTGTCTGCTATAATGCTCCTAAAAGTATGTTTCAGTAGCCTTGACAGTATTAAAAATCTGAAGATGACTGTGCTGGTCCAGGCTAATCCTGATTTTTTTTCCCCCCTATTCTTTGGTAATATACAATCAGAGGGACTCTTTTTTTTCTCCCTAGAGTATGCATATGCACTAGCTTTTAATACATAGGAATACAGAATAACGGTTATGAGAAATCAGTCCAAAGTTTGAAAAATAGATATTTTATATCTTTAAAAACAAACTAGTCAGAACACAAAGCATTTGAGAGTATAAAATGTACAGTGACCATCTACGCTTTACCAAGTGGCAATTCTTTTATTATTTGACATCTCATTAAATCTTTAACGAGGATAAAGATTTGTCTTATGAAGGAACAAATCACTGATTAGGACACTGTTTTTGCCTGAATGATTTTAAGACAAAACAGTTATGTTACCTGCTTTCCACGTGTCATCTCTTCAAATAAACAGGCATTGATATTTGTGTGTGTTCTCAGAATTTATTTACCTTTTCTCTTTTGCCTTTGTAAGTAGGAAAGAAATCTCATCTTAGGAAAACCACAGAGAAGAAACTCCCTACTAAACAAACCATTGCGAAACTACAGCAGTCTGACATTTGGAAAATGGAGAACGAGTTCTATGAGTTTGCACTAGAGCAGTTCCAGTTCATCAGAGCCCATGCTGTACGGGAGAAAGACGGAGACCTCTACATCCTCGCACAGAACTTTTTCTATGAAAAAATTTACCCTAAATCGAACTGAGTACAAGGCGTGACAGTTAGATTCTTGAACTACAACTTCAACCTTGGCTTTACTTTAGTTCTCAGCTCCACAACTTGGATTGTTGATGGATATATAAGACACTTTGCGTTAGGATACAGACAGTGACGTCAAGGAAGTAGATTCTGGCTGATACGTCAGTGGTCCAGGAAGTTTAAGTTTCAGCCTATTTTTTTCTGGTTAAATTTTGGTGGGAGTTATAACCTCCTGCCTGGACAAAACCTACCCATCACCTAAAATAAATACCTAGCAGGTCTAATTGAAGGCTAAAAGCAGTTACAGAAAGGTTCTGATACTCTGTTTTTGATAAAGCATTTTTTCCAACTAACCATCAGCGAAGATGACTCCATCGGCTTCGCCTGAGGTTTGGGTTGTACCCCTCTGCTGGCTGGTGTTAGTAACTGTTCGGCAGTGTGTGCTTCGTTTTCGATTGTTTGATCACGGTTGCTAAAAACGTTTCTGCTGTAGTTGGAATTGCCCATATTTATGTAGGTCATTCTAATTTTATTTTAAAAGTTGATTATTGATGTTAACAACCAGTTTAAATCATTATTAATACTGTATAAAGAATCAAAGCAGTATTTCTTATTCCTGTCTCCCCCAGTATCTAAGATTGGGGAAAAACTTAGAGAATGTTGACATTGCCTAAAGTTTTTTTTTTCCCCCCACAAAAAATATTTTCCTTTAAGAAAGATTTTCTCGTCATGTTTAATGGGAAAACACTAAAATGAAATATAAACAGTTCAATAGGGAAATTTTGACTGTTTATCTTTTAGATCATATATTTTCTCTTCAAAATCTACACATGTTCTTGTGATGTTTTCAAAAGTAGGTCCTGATACAGATTTGACTCATCTGTGGATCCCAGGGGAGACGCTCTATGGGATCCAGATTCAAATTCAGCAGCAGCAGCTTCTAGTTCTCTAGTTTTATTCTGACCTCTGCCTGCCTTTTATTAGTTTTGTCTAGTTTATTTGCCAATGACTTTCTAACTTTTTGTTCTTCTAGGTAGAGTTGTTTATATTTTCCTAATTCTGCTTTTTATTAGAAACTTCTTAAAAGGTTTTCATCTTGGAGAGTTCAGATTCCAAGTCTTTAATTCTGAGTTCCATCTGACTTTTTCAGTTCAGTCGCTCAGTCGTATCCGACTCTTTGCAACCCCATGGACTGCAGCATGCCAGGCTTCCCTGTCCATCACCAACTCCCGGAGCTTGCTAAAACTCATGACCAATGAGTCAGTGATGCCATCCAACCATCTCATCCTCCATCGTCCCCTTCTCCTCCTGCCTTCAGTCTTTTCCAGCATCAGGGTCTTTTCCAATGAGTCAGTTCTTCGCATCAGGTGGTCAAAGTATTGGAGCTTCAGCATCAGTCCTTCCAGTGAATATTCAGGACTGATTTCCTTTAGGATTGACTAATTCCTTTAGGATTCCTTTAGGATTGATTGAGGGATTTCTTTAGTATTTCCCTTAGGATCTGACTTCTTATTCAAGCATTATTCTAATTTCATGATTGCTCTAAATTTTCTTGAGATGCTGCTTGTATCTACAAAAATAGGTTGGCTTCTTTTAGTTTACTAAATCCTATCTTGCTCTTTCTTCAATCTACTGTTTATACTGCTCTGCTTGACTGTGTTCTATCACATTCATTTCTATATGACTTTTGAGGTTCACTACTTCTTGCTGCAACTTCTTTTTATTCTCTAGTTTTTCACATTTCTTTTGCATTACTTTCATAGATAATAACTCCTGTCGAAGAAGTTGACTTTTTGCATCCAGGTGCAGACATTTTGAAGATGCAGTTTCTAGCTCCACTGTAAGATCATCAGCCGAACTTGCACTTAACAGGTTTATCTGAAGCTGTTCAATTTTGCCTGCTTGCTTTTTGGCTGTGGTTTTAAACTTGCATTTTCAATTTCAAGTTTTTGGATGTGATCCTGTGTTTTCTCAGCACATCTCAGGGCCTCTGTATGTTGATCCTGTGCTTTTTGCATCTGACTTGGGAGTTGACCTAATGTCTTCTTTAAATCCTGTGCCTCATCTTCTAAGTTAGCACAATAACATGAGTCACCTCCAGTGAATCCTCTGACATAGACTCGAGTTAATTTCCTTATTAGCCATTTCTAACTCCTTTTGTTTGGCAAGGTCAGGATTCCATCCTTTAAGATTCTTGTATTCCATTCTCAAAAAAGCTGCTTCTCATGTCATTTCACATTTTTACAACCTGATTCAGATTATATCTCACAGCCTTCAGTTTTATTTCTAGTGCTCTGAGAGTGAATTCAAGTTGTTTTATTTCAACTTCTTACCATATTGGTCTTTTCTTGTTAACTGCTCCCTAATTTTTTCATATAACATACTAGACTTTCTCTCTTCTCTTCTTGCTTTAAGGTGAATCTTAAGCTAAGGAGCTCTCATTCCGACTCCACTTTCTGTTGCTCTGTGATTTTACTTCTTTTGTTTCTGACAGCTCTTTCTGTAGCCCACTAACCTTACTTTCCATTTTAATTTTTCCTCTAAGTAGTTCACAGTGGCTTTTTTAAAATTCTATTAATCTTTCATAGAAAGAATTGCACCCTGAATTTGCAACAAGCTACCAGAATCTTTACACCCCTTGCCAAATTGTTCACTTAACAACATGGAATTCAACTCGCCATCCTTGGAAGCGGTTTCAGATGACTGAATTAAGTCATCAGGGTCATCCACAGAATTAGTTTGCTCTTCGACCTTGTTCTGTTCACTAGATATTTTCTTTGCAGGCTTGCCATCATCCTGATCCACTTTACTTAAAATACTGTCATCATTCATATGCAGCAGACCACCAGTCAGTAAATTGGTCATTTCAAATATTGGTGTAATCACACATTATTTTGGTGACCATTTTTCATTGTCCTTTTTCTTTACCTCCTTCATATGCATGCTAGGATCGCCACTATCAGAATCTTCATTCTCAGTAGCAGGAAGTAGCTGGTTGCTATTTTTTTCTACTCTTTCTCTGCTGAATGAATCCAGTCTTTAGCAGCATCACATATGTTGTTGGATACTTGCATTTCACTACTTTTGTTCTGCTGCTTTTCTTCTTCAACCTTGGTTTTAAAATCTTAACACTTTGTTGTCTGATGTAGGCCATAAATCAACACCAGGTTTGATTATTGAAAAACCTGCTTAAAGAGTCTTCCTCAGCATTCTTATCCACTGAGTTGCTATTTTGGGGAGGTGTCTCTTTTCTTTATAGTCAGTCATCAGTTGGTGAATCATAACACCACTAACAACAGCACATTCTTCAGCAGTCCATCCAAAGACATCTTGAGAAAAGATGTAAATACCTTGCTGAAAAAGACTGACTGCATTTGACTCATAATTGACAGCAAGCATGAGGGCTGTTCTTTTCATTTTATCAACCATATGTGTATTTGCTGCTTTCTTTACTAAAAACTCCACCATTTGCTGTTTGCTTTCACTTATAGTAAGTAACAGTGGTGTGAGGTCATCCTTGTTCCTGGCTTCTGTTATTGGTGTTGTATGGAAGCAGCTCTGCTGCAAGGGATACATTCTGGCAGAAGGCAGCATAAGTGGAGAGCAGTGCTGCTACTGACGTTGGTGACGTTTGGGTGGGCACCGTGTTCCAGCAGAGTAGTTGCAAACTCCTCTGCTTGACATTCTACAGCCTTCATCAGCACTGTCCTCTTTTCATGGTCACAGAAGTTAGGAAGGTATTTTCTCTCCAGGAGGAGAGTTATCCCTGCTGAACGACCATTGACACAGGCCAAGTGGAGGGCAGTCCTGTTCATCTTGTCACTGTTCATGCCATTATTTCCAAGCAAGAGAATATGCTGCACTTTGGCTATGTTTACCATGCTGGCAGCTTTGTGGATCTTTCCAGAGTCCTTCTTTCGGATGTGGTACCTGGGCCTGGTGTCTTCTTGGACCTCCCAGTCATTGGAGAAGGTCACCAGCTGCTGCCCTTGCAAACAATTTGAAGGCTGGAAAACATCCTTCTGTTCTCTTGAGTGTCAGGAAAGATGGTATCTTGGAAGCTGACTCCATGAGGCTAGAGGCTATTCCTCATCTGTTCTAAGGAAGAAGAAATAGGAGTACTCCTGGACCACAGTGTGGGAGTGACAGGAGAAGTAGCCCTGGCCAGTGAGCTTGAGCCTGGAGCATGCTGCCCCACTCTGGTTGCACAGCTTCTTGATCTGGGCCCCGTAGAGGAGCCCCGCATACTGCCAGGGCAGGCAGGTAGCTGCACAGGCCATGCCCGTCCTGGTACAGCGCCAGCACCTTGGTGTACACAATGATCTCAGCCTGCTTGGGGTGGCAGCCCTCACTCAGGGGTCTCCCCTCAGAGGGCAGCTGGCAGCCGTGGGAGGCCCCAAGCCAGCCAGCCAGGCAGAGCCAGGCAAGCAGCAGTGGGTGTAGCATGCTGGTGGCTGCGGCCGCAGGGGGTGGGTGGTGGGACTGGCAGGGTGAGCGCTGCGCCCGGGGCACGCTAGCCGGGGCCCCAGAAGCACAGCCCTGGGCACTCCGCCCCATGCTGCTCTCTCCACCACCGGGATCCACCCTGCCTAAAGTTTTAGTTAAGGCTTCCACATATTAATATCAAAAAAGTAAATTTAGTGTTTGTTTCTCCACGGGTTATTTGTAAAGCTGTAAACTGAGATATCGGTGACTCCATATTATATCTCCATTAGTGAGCTGTGGTATGGGTAGGATTTTCCTACTTCTTCTGTACTTTTCCTTGTAGACTATTTTTACTAAGGTGCTTTATAATGTGTTTTAAAGCATTGCATTTACAAAAAAAAAAAAGGAAAATGCTGTAAATATTGCATATTTTATGTATTTGGACCAAAAGGTTATAAGTAATTAGACAAGTGATTTTGCACCAATTTTATTACGTCAAGTAAAACCATCAGATCTACTGTTCTTATATTTCTCATTTAACTTTACTGTTAAGACATCACTGAAATGAACTTCAATAACCTTTCAATTTTTATACGAAGTACATTATTCATAATCGGGGGCAGTAGTTGTAGTGGAAAGAGTACTGGACAAGGAGTCGGAAATCTTGATTTCTTGACTTGGCTCTGCCACTGATCAGCTGTGTGACCTTGGGCAAGTCACTTAACCTCTCTCTGCCTCAGTTTCCTCATCTTGAAATGAGGATATAATACCTGCTGTACCTACCTCACAGGGGTGTTGTGAGGATTAAATGAGATGGCATGTGAAAGCACTTTGAAAATTGTAATGCGCGATATAAATGTAAGGTATTATGGAAACATCTTTAACATATAGTTTCATATCATTCATTTTTTAACAAAGAGAAAAGTTCACTTATAAGCTGGTTGAAAAAAGCAGTTCATCTTGATATATATTTGTGTTTAATAAATATCTTCTCAGTGTTTTATCTTCCCTGTTTCAACAACTATTGAAAATGGAAACACCTGTGAACTCTTACAGATTCACGAGCAGCTGCTTTAGTTCAGGAGGTTGTTCCCTGTTTGCAAAAAGATTTCATTAGCTGACTCAGGGCAGAGGAAAATTTGCTCTTCAAATGTGGAAGACTTTTCTGTTTTTATTTTACATTACCATTCAGAAATGGTAGCTATTTTATACCTCTGGTTTTTAAGGTATATGTTGCAGAATTTTATTTCCCTGTGCATTCTTTATTTCTTCCACTTCTTAGAGTAGCAAAAATAAAGAATTTTAGAAACATTTTCTAAAAGGGTAACCTTTAATATGTTTAGTTTAAATATCCCCAAATAAGGCCTCACCAGACTATGTAGGCATTTCAGAGAGGTTGCTTTAAAGGTTGTTGATTGTATGGAAGGAGGAGAGAATGCATCTTATCAAAAGACATTTTGGACAAATTTAAAGAAAAGCTAAAAGAAGTTGACAGGAAAAGTCATTGTAACACCCTTTCCCCCCTAATAATAGGACAATATTAAAAGTATATCAACAGCCTGCTTTTCTTATTTGACTTTCTTTTTTGTGTATTTAATACCTTTTGCAGGCATTTGTTGAAAATATATACAAATGGTTTTCTCGCCCAAAAGTAAAGCACCACCTTGGGGTGGGGCATCTGACATTTATCTGCGAAGGAACCCTAGGATGCAGGTTATTCTCTGAGTCCAGCTAAAATCTTAAGGCGCATCAGCTCTTTTAGGTAACTAGAGTAGCACATAGATCTAGGGTCAAAAGATTCAGAGAGTACATACAATTTCAGACTTTGCAAGCCATAGGTCTCCATCACAACTACTCAACTCTGCCATTTTAGTATAAAAGCAGACAACACATAAGTGATGAGTTATGGCTCTGTCCCAATAAAACTTTATTGCTCAAACAGCTGACAGGCCAAATATGGACCATGGGTTTTACTTTGCCAACCCCTGTAGCAGGTTATTATTTATGGAGAAATCACTTTTGAATCTGTACTCTACTGGCCTAAAAGAGTTTATATACTTCCAAAACAGCTCCTAACTTATATCCAAAGAATGGCTTTCTGATCCAGGCGGTCTCTCCCACAGATTCATAAACTTTTATAACTTGGATTGCTTCCAGGTGGGCAGGTTTTCTTTCCCAGTTTAGCTGTTCAGAATAGGGGCATTTATGCTATCATCTTTCAGGGTGGGTGAGAAGTATCCTTCCTGGAGACTGAGAAAGGGTTAGGTTTAATCCCATGTGGTCTAATATAGTCCTAGGAGCCTGACAAGTGCAGAGTCCTTATAATACCTAACTTTATAATCAAATAAACAGAACCACTGAGATGATAATGTATTTTTTTAAAGTGGCAAGTGTGATTTTTCTTTTTCAGCCTCTGCGCTTTTTTCAGTATTTTGAAAATAGGGGAAAATTTTTTTTTATATAATACAATAGCAAATTAACCACTTTGAATTTTAAAGATAATGTTATGTGTGTATGTGTGTATATATATATATATGTTTATTTCCTAAAAGAGGGAAAAGTACTGTTTTGTTCAACTTGTATCAACTCCTGTTTTCTAATTGCTGTGAAATGGCAACTATTGATAAATTATTGTGACTTTTAAAATGTAATGGAAAGGACATATTTTGGTTTTACCCAGCTTTAATCTGTAAAGTATCACTTAAATATACTAACAGCAACACATAAAGTATTGCATGGGGATTACTTTTCTATCATCCATACACATTTGTGCAACTTTGAACATATTGGGTGCTTCTGAATTCCTGATGATTGGATTTAAATGACTGAAAATCTGAGAAAAACGTACTGACTTTTAAACTTTGCATTTTATTTTCTATTCTTAAAATTCAGTTAATGCCTATAATTTGAAGTCCACTGTTGCTCTTTCTCAATATATGTCCTATCAGAGATTCCTAAAATTGTGAGTCGCATCTGTGATTTACAAACAGTATTTTGATATTGCAGGTGATTTGCTCATTGTATTTGCATAGTTAGAAAGAAAATAGTTTGTAGACAATGATTCTCCTTTTCTAATAAAATGAAATAAAAATTCTAAAAGCACTAGAGAATTGAACTAAAGGCTGGTTCCCAAATGCATAGCTGGTATTTTAATTGCTATTCAAATTCTACATAGAGAACATCTGTGTAAACCATCTCTCTGGTTTTTCCCATTGATCATTCTCAAACACACCTATGGCCCTAAAATCCTTTATTATGAGAGGCACCCGGTATTGTAACCTTTTATGAAGTTTGTCTTTTAAGAGGTCCAGGTGCTTCTACTTCATGAGATGAAATTTGCCTCTTCATAAGTTAGTGCTGTTTGCTTTGAGAGGAAGTAAGGCAATTGCTGTTAAATTTTTGCATCCATTTACCCTATGCAAAGCTGCTGGATGATGCCAACTAACCTGCTGCTCAGGCAGCCTTTGGAGGGGAAAAGCACCCCGTTTGAGATGCACTGCCAATTCAACTCCTCTGGAGTGGAGCTTGCTTTCTGATTTACTGGAGAGGGAATTGTAAAGATAGAAAGGGGCAATCAGTTTGTCAGATTTATCCTGTAATTTAAGTTCATGCAGCTTTGTGACCTTTGCAGTACTATTTATAAAAAGGACCCTGATGGTGATGATCTCTTTTAAAACCCATTGCTGGTAAGCCTATGGTTTAGACACACTGGTGCTGTCTGATTTTTCAGACAGCTTCTAGAGCTTTCTACTGAGACTTAGGTGTGTGAGCATCTCTAAAGCAATGTCAAATGTAATTTTGGCAAACATGGATTGTATATTTTGACTTTCACTTTATAAATACACAAGACAGCTGAAAAAGAGTGCCTTTTCCCCCCTCACGATCCATGTTGGAAGATGCTTGCTCCTTCCTCTGTCTCTGCTTTCTCCTTTCTCCCCCTCTGCTGTTCACTTGATTCATTTACACAGTACTGTTTCCAAGTTAAACCATTTTGTCACATCTGTTGGAGAGATAATCACTCCTTTTCCTTAACATTCTGCCAGCTCTCTGTTGTTCAAGTGTTTCAGTTGATTACCTGATGAAAAAGCTATAAAATAAACACTCAGTGGGAAGGGGAAAAATGGTTTGGTGTCCTGTTTTAATATTTTCTTCCATGGCCTTGATGCTGAAGATTTTTCCAAGTGGAGTCAGTGTTCAGTGTCATGAGCTTAACCTTCAGATATCACTGCCAGCTGAGAGGTACATGTCATCACTGGTCTGTCATGATTTGGGGGTTTATTTGGGACTTGCAAACTGACAGGCCTTTGCTGCTTTTTGCCTTATACTTCATTACTGGTACTGAAATTTCAGAAAATTTACAAGGTATTCTTAGGATATATTCATAACTAGAAGAGAAAAGGGCTTTCAGCTTAGAATAAAAAGGGAATTTGAAAGAAAAATTTAATCTGATTAACATTTCCTGCACAGTTTAGATGTGTCGTAATGTTTCTTTCAGAATACACGTGTCTGCTGATTCTCTTTTCACCCTTAAAGGAGAGACTCTCAATTAACAGATTTCCTGTTCTCGGCCCTGGCTCATTGTTTCAAGCAAGTATTGTATGATACTGTGTTGAGTAAATACCCAATTCAGTAATACATTGTCTAAACAGGGAATTTGGTCTGTATTCACAGAGGCAGAACAGGGAGCATGAATTTGAGAGTCAAATGGACCTGCATTTAGCAGTGTAACTAATCAGTGAAGAAAACAGTATTTTTGTTGTACAGGTTGGAAAAGGTAGATACAGAGTGCTGGCCCAGGGCAGACCAATAACTGGTATGGCTTTTATGTACTGGGTTAGAATATTGTCAAGAAGTTGACAATATTGCCCTTCTGACCCTGCAGAATACTAGTAGAGTTGCTTTAGAGAAGATGTTTTTATAAATGCTTTTAATTACTACTGAATTTTACTTTTTTATTGACAGCCCACTATTGCCTTTTTTACTTAGATCCTATAGCATAGCTAGTACTGATTATGATACCTGCTGTTGTTTGCATGTACAAATTTTCTGTGAGAAAAGGGGGGGGTTGCTGATTGTCCTAAAGGAGGACTTGTTCCAGAAGTGGCTGTGTTCACATATTCTTGAACAGTGTGGACTGTAAAGTAGCACATACCTAAAACTCAGGATACCTGGAGTAATTTGCATTCTTTGATTGGCATTCTTTCAACAGAAAGGAAACTATCCATTCTCTAAGAAAAGAGGACATTTGCCTTGGCTATAAATTCACTAATCATTTTAGAATTTCACATTTTTAGGATATCTGAAAAATAAACTTACTATGAATCTAAACTAACATGTTTTCATCACACTCTTACCATCACTAGCTCTTTTTTAAAGCAGCAGTTTGAACTTTCTGAATGTTCTTCCAGTAGTGACAAGTGCCACAATGCAAATTCCAAAGCACTGTCCATTTGTTTTCTTGCTGTGAAGGCATCTGCCCACCAGTTACCTACCTTGCCTCCATTATACCCTGTCTCACCTTTGTTACCACAGAGCCCACACACAATAACAGCATCAACAACAAAATTGACTTTAAATTGCAAATTTTTCCCTTTCTACTTAAGGAATGACCAGTTGAACAAATTAAAAAAAAAAAAAAACTTTATAGAGTCACAGTTCTCTTTGTGGCTTACTATATTTCTTGTAGTAGCATGAGACTAAAAGTCTAAAAACATGTCAAGGGCCTATGTAAGGTAAAATGGATTTTTAGATAATATATTTAGTTTGTAAGACCTGTGAGGAGACACAACAGGAAAAAAGGTCTTTTTTCTTTCTTTCACCTGTTTCCTTCTATGAGAGATAATACTAAGCCCCTTGAATAGATTATTTTTTCGTCTGAAAACAATGACAATGGGGATTCATGAAAAGATAATCCCTAAGAGTTGGCTAGTTGCTCCTTCCTTCACACCTTTTGGTCCTGTGTTTGTTCAAAACCAGATGACCAGCTTGGTGAGATCACCATATGTTTTTTTGTAAACTTTAGAATCTTTGCTTTTTACAGTGACAACTGAGGTCTCAGACTTTATTTGATTTCCCATACACTCATACAAGTCAGTACCTGCCTCCTTTCCCCCTATTCCTTCATCATAAACATACTGCTTCTGGAGATTCTCCTAGCCTGACAACGAAAAAGAAAGAAGCAATCACAAGCTATAGAGAATTCTACGGCTAGCTGTGAGAAAGAGGCAGTTTGTATGGTGGTTAGAATATGGGCTCTGGAGCACCACCGCTTACTAGCTAACTGATCTTGAACAAATTAACCTCCCTACATCTGAATCTTATCTGTAAAATGGGACTAACATTAATCAACAGTTAGTTTGAGGATTAGTGAGATATGTATAAACTTAGTACTTGGTTCCTGTTAGTTCAGTTCAGTTTAGTCGCTCAGTCGTGTCCAACTCTTTGCGACCCCATGAATCACAGCACTCCAGGACTCCCTGTCCCTCGCAACTCCCGGAGTTCACCCAAACCCATGTCCATCGAGTCGGTGATGCCATCCAGCCATGTCATCCTCTGTCATCCCCTTTTCCTCCTGCCACCAATCCCTCCCAGCATCAGGGTCTTTTCAAATGAGTCAACTCTTCACATGAGGTGGCCAAAGTATTGGAGTTTCAGCTTCAGCATCAGTCCTTCCAATGAAAACCCAGACTGATCTTCAGGATGGACTGGTTGGATCTCCTGGCAGTCCAAGGGACTCTCAAGAGTCTTCTCCAACACCACAGTTCAAAAGCAGCAATTCTTCGGTGCTCAGCTTTCTTCACAGTCCAACTCTCACATCCATACATGACCACTGGAAGAACCATAGCCTTGACTAGACGGACCTTTGTTGGCAAAGTAATGTCTCTGCTTTTTAATGTGCTTTCTAGGTTGGTCATAACTTTCATTCCAAGGAGTAAGCATCTTTTAATTTCATGGCTGCAGTCACTATCTGCAGTGATTTTGGATCCCCCCAAAATAAAGTCTGACACTGTTTCCATTGTTTCCCCATCTATTTCCCATGAAGTGATGGGACCAGATGCCATGATCTTAGTTTTCTGAATGCTAAGCTTTAAGCCAACTTTTTCAATCTCCTCTTTCACTTTCATCAAGAGGCTTTTTAGTTCCTCTTCACTTTCTGCCATAAGGGTGGTGTCATCTGCATATCTGAGGTTATTGATATTTCTCCCGGCAATTTTGATACCAGCTGTGCTTCTTCCAGCCCAGCGTTTCTCATGATGTACTCTGCATACAAGTTAAATAAGCAGGGTGACAATATACAGCTTTGACATACTCCTTTTCCTATTTGGAACCAGTCTGTTGTTCCATGTCCAGTTCTAACTGTTGCTTCCTGACCTGCATACAGGTTTCTCAAGAGGCAGGTCAGGTGGTCTGGTATTCCCATCTCTCTCAGAATTTTCCACAGTTTATTGTGATCCACACAGTCAAAGGCTTTGGCATAGTCAATAAAGCAGAAATAGATGTTTTTCTGGAACTCTCTTGCTTTTTCGATGACCCAGTGGATGTTGGCAATTTGATCTCTGGTTCCTCTGCCTTTTCTAAAACCAGCTTGAACATCTGGAAGTTCATGGTTCATGTATTGCTGAAGCCTGGCTTGGAGAATTTTGAGCATTAATTTACTAGCATATAAGATGAGTGCAATTGTGCAGTAGTTTGAGCATTCTTTGGGATTGGAATGAAAACTGACCTTTTCCAGTCCTGTGGCCACTGCTGAGTAAGCGCTAAAGAAGAGCTAACATTACCTGCCAGGATAAATAAGAAAGCAAAAGAGGAGGAACATCTATTTGGACATACTGTGTCACAGTGTGCACCCATGAAGTCATTCACTGAGCTGTGCGCAGGCATGAGGAACATGAAAGATGAACAAAACAGGCATGACTTTTATTTGTTGATAAGAGACGAGGTGAAGAAATACCAAGCATCATGCAAAAATCTCTTTCCTTACTGATAAACCACCTCCTTTTGTTGTTGTTAAGGATTCATAGAGAAGGGCATGGCAGCCCACTCCAGTATTCTTGCCTGGAGAATCCAGTGGAGAGGAGCCTGGCAGGCTACAGACCACAGGGTTGCACAGAGTTGGACACAACTAAAGTGACTTAGCACAGCACAAGATTTCATAACCCACCTCTATCCCCCAGACCTTTTAATACTCTTAACGGTTTCATCTCTTGATTTTAACCTTGAAATAGTAGAAGCACCACATTGCCCAAGAAATCAAGTTCTAAACATACAGTACCTATTACTTCACTCTAAAATGCAGTTTCATCTTGATCTCTGTGACAGGCTTCATTTCATGACAAATCTGTCCTCCCACTTCTCTAGATCCCTAGTTGGGTTTGTGGGTTAAAATGCTAAGCTTTTACTCTGAGAGACACTGTTGATCTTTGTTGTAATTTTTAGTTCTATTATATTTTAATTCCAAATTCATTTAAACAATGAGAAAGACAAAGCAGTGCTTTATTTGTAGTCCCAATCTAAAAAATGGGTTGTATTCTCAGAATTTATTATAAACCAGTTGTTTGAAATCCATGTGGAACCAATATTACACATGTGAGCCAGCCTAATCCACAGAAGTTAAATATTAATGGAGTTATCCCTTCGTTAGAGCAGAGGAATCTGAGGGTGGTATCCTATTGGGGAACTTAAAATTGAGTTTTTCTGCCGTTTTCCCCAATGAGATTTTTCAGTCCTGAGCCCTAAAGATGAGTGGTTCATATTTTAACCTATGGGGCTTGTAAGCAGAGGATGAAGTAATCACTTCTGAGTTTTGAAAAATAGATGCAGCAGTGTAGAAAATGTGTGCTCAGGCTGAATGCTAGGGACACAGAACCTCTGAGGAGGTTACTGCGGTTGTCAAAGGAAGTGGTGATAACATTGGGGAGAAGCAGATGGATCTCAGGGACAGAGGACGCAGCACTTGGTGACAGATGGGATGTGATTAGTAAATGGAGAGAGGGGGCAATATTTGGGTTTGCAAAACACTGTCTATACCGATGCTCAACATCCTTTGCTTTGCCCCAGCTATGCAGTGATGGTTGTTTTCCATCTAAAGATTTATAAAATAGACCAGTGTCTGTCCAGAGAAGCTAGGACCACAAAGACAGGATTCACTGTCTCACTATTAAGT